CAAAATTACGTTCTATTGATTCTAATTATTCTAATTATTGCTTTATTTTATGCATCACCGTTTCCAATAATTATTTATTATTTATAATACTTTGACGGTTATTTAGACACTTTTTTTAGAGACTTTAACTATATTCGTATCTAATATTAATAATGGCTTATCGCTTGTAATTATTTGTTATTTTATGTCTCTTAATCAATTTCGAAACTTAATTTGTCAAATGTTTGTCTCAACAAAGGCTACAAATACAAAAATTCAATAAACAATAAGTTTATGTAAAATCCAAGCAATTTAGTATGCAAGTATGCAAGTAGACAAGTAGGCAAACACTAGGCCACTAACAATTACACACATTTACACACTCGCATGCGACTTACGGACTTGGAACTTGAAATTGCAAAATTTCTATATATATATATATATATATATATATATATATATAAGATCTTTTTATATGGTATGTGCGCGTGTATGCCCGTTGAATATAATTAGTGAGCTTGAACAATGAATATACATGTCGAAATAAAATTTGTTAATAAAATTTAATATACTTTTAATATGATTTATGCTTTTCTATAACTTTGGTCAGAATTTCAAATGTTTTTCAATCGATAATAAATTTATGACTTTTATTTCTCATGGCTTTCTCGGACAAGTATGGTCTATTAAATTCTCTATCAATGCTATCGTCAGTGAATCAATTATTTTCTCACCGTCAATTTTGCAAATAATACAATAATACAATGAAGGGTTCGGTAAAATATATTTATACACTGCCTCATATAATTTCTCTAAAACCTTTATTGAAAAAGACAATTTAATGTACATTATTAGTATTGAGTACATTTCGGTGATATATCGCTTGATTATTAATCTAAAACTAATTTTAGATAAAGTGTCATATATCTTTTCATTAAATTAAATTTTATTTATTCGTACTTTCAAGTATTTTGGTGTATACGAGACTTACCAAAGAGCACTTGAAAAAGCACCTAGAAGTGCATTCGCAGCAGTATGTTAAATACATTACAGGTGAATGTTTTATTATTTTCTTTTCCTTTTGTAGAAGAAATGTATAATTATTTATTACACAACAGCGGGATTTGGCAAATGTTCCAATTACTGTTATCTTTTTAAATGTTTATTTTTCAGTTTCTAAAACTGTAAATATAATTTTTTATATTTAACACTATGAACGTACGTACTTTTATCACATGTATGACCGATGTTTAAGGATTTTTCCTTCGCGTCATATTAAAAAAACTTAATAAGTAATTGAGTAAAAAATGTATTTGGCATTGAAATAGTTACAGTAATTAGCTCATTCACCGTACCTTAATTACCAGCTCAGCATTCAAAATGAGCAATATGGTTAAGGTAGTAGTACGTGCGTGATAAAATAAAGTCCATTATATCCTTGACATATTCTTATAATGAAGTTCTTCTATGAATTCTATAAAACAAATTGCATTGACTTTATTAACAAATCTCATTTGAAAGAAATAAATAAAATCATATATTTACAATTAATTTAACATAGTTGAATATAAATGTAAAAAAATACGTTCATCGAACAAATTTATGTAGATTGTTTTTTTATTTATTTATTTATTTTTGTTTTTTTGTTTGTTTTTTTGTTTGTTTTTTTTTGGGTTTTTTTTTTTTGTTTTTGTTTTTATTTTGTAGTTTCATTAGCATCTTAAAAAAGTTTCGATTAATTTATTATCGTTTTAATTTTTATTTACAACGAAATCTGTTTGATGAAACAATAATTAATTATAAATCATTGTTTAAGTTTTAGCTCAATCTTTTTTTGAATACTTTGCCTATTCCAGAACGTTCCAGGTCGTTTAATTTTAGATGCATAAAATCATAATGAATTTTGTTGCCTTAGCTACGTGTAATGAAATTTATGAAAGTTTTCATAATTAACACAATAGAATAGATAATTTTAAATATAAATACTTCTAACCGTTTTTTCTTTTCTTTTCTTTTCTTTTTTTTTTTCTTTCTCTATTATTATTATTGTTATTGTTATTGTTATTATTATTATTATTATTATTATTATTGTTGTTGTTGTTGTTGTTGTTGTTGTTGTTGTTGTTATTGATTAAGAGAATAATAGTTTTTTGAAGCAAAAAAAAAAAAAGTTGAGCATAATTTTTTACTCATCGCCGCTTTTTATTAGTCCGCTAAACCAATTAGTTCAAAACTATATTACTAACAATATTGCTTTAAATAAAATAATTCTGCCATTCAAGTTGCTTGAGTGTACGGTTCGTTTGAACGTATTGAAGAACGGTAAATCAAGTATCCGCAAATTCGAAAATATTCCATAGATTGTAAGTCATCTCAAGATCGTAGTTTTCTTCATCCACTTTCATTTTTATCAATAATTTTACAGCCAATTTTCAATTTTTTTCCTTCATTCATATACTTTATTGTCTTATGAACATCATTTATATATTTGCCTTTTAATACTGTAATGCCCGAGCATCTATTAAGCAATTCAACATTACAATGATTGCTTAATTTAAAAAAAAATTTTTCTTTTTGTTGTTCTTCTTCCCTCTTTCCATCTTTTTATTTTTTATTTTTATTTTTATTTTTACTTGACGAGTTTATAACCAGCATGTGGTCAATTTTGACTTTTTGGTAACGTAGCCGCCACAATAATGGACAATTATATATCAATTTTTGTAGGTATTTGGTCGAAAAAATTATACATAATACATAGTTGTTATTCTGGTACTCCTTTTATTCCTAGTAAAATAAGCATTACGGGAGTTACAAAAGATTAAAGTTACACTTGATGTGTATTTATATAGTCGGCTCTACTAGGCAAGTAACATTTTCTAATAAGATAAGATAATTTTACACTATATTGTACAGAGGAAACAAAATTTAATTTAAAATCAAGGTATGCTCCATTTATAATAATATCGTCAACGTTTTAATGAAGCTGAATAGGAAAGGAAAATTTTGTGTGATAATGGAATTGCATAAAGTCAGGTTAGGCGCATTTGGAAGCATATAGGATAACAAATGGCATTAACATATGTACAAATCTAAGGTTAAGTTTGATTTTGAAAGGTCGATTTTCGAAGATTATTGATATACATTCGACAAACTTATAAGCTTTGTTCGCACAAAATTTTAAAGATATAACAAAGTCTTTAATAGAGATTCGTCGCCATAAAAGGACGTGAGTAAGCTCGTCTCGATGAAATAGCTGTAGCATCGTAGCGACCGAAGTTGCGCTTAAACTGTGTGCAGCGACGTCCAAAATAAAACTCGCCAAAAAAGCCTCAAGAAGTCCTCGGCTGCTTGTCTCTGCGTAGACTCGCGCTAGAGTGGGAGAAAGAGCGAGCGAGAGCACGCGGGGGGGTGAGAGAGAGAGAGAGAGAGAGAGAGAGAGAGAGAGAGAGAGAGAGTGAGTGATAAAGGGATGGCGCAAGATTGAGGGAAGGAGGAGTCGAAGGAGATAGGAAGGCATGATTACGAGAGCACGGGCTCGTGGAAAGAGCTCTGGCGCCTTCCCTTTGTGTCGTTCCCCGCCTGCGTCGTGGTAGGGATAAGCCACGATGTCGTTGATTAATACGGTTTACCAGTAAGTGTAACGGAGTGTGCAAAACGCGTATGCTCCGCCATCGTCGTCGACGCCGACGCCGACGCCGTTGACGGCGGCGCTCCCCTTCCTCGACGCGCGACGAACCAAACGCCGGCACGTGCCGATCAATGGCGCCTCTCTCGCGATTGGTCGTCGACTCGAGTCGGTAGCGGGGCGCCGCTCTCCAATCCTCACTCCACACACCCCCTCACCCTCACCCACACACTACTCCCTCCGCTCTCACCCGCCCCTCGACAACCCTGTCCAGCCGCCAAGTCGACTTACCACCCTCCGGAGGGTTCGTCCTGTAAGAGAGGCAAAGCTTCTCTCTTGTGAGACGCATTGATTGCCAACAAACTCGACGCTCCGTTCTGCGCGCCTTCCTCCTTCTTTCTTTCCTCCCCAAGCAGATCCTAGTTTTTTCGGGCGCCGCGACCACCTCCGACGCCGAGGAGGTTGATTATTCGAAGCGGGAGTTTATGTAACGGCAGCTCGCCTCGCACTACTCTCGCGCACTACATAACTAACTACCAAGCTAGATTTATGCATATTTATTTATTTATACGCATGCACGTATTTACGAACGTACGTAGGTATTTATTGTAGGTATGCGCGCATGTGTGCTCACGTGCAGGTACGTGGGCGCGTACGTATGCACGCGGCTAGTGGGTATTAACTACGTACGCAAGTGCGCACGTGTGCGCAGCTCTGTAGGAGTTGATTGTATAATATGTACACTGGACGGATACTAGTGTGTGGTTCTTTAATGCGTACGCGCGTGTCTTTGTTTGTTTGTTTGTTTGTTTGTTTGTTTGTTTGTTTGTTCGTTCGTTCGTTTGTTTATTGTCCGTTTGCCTGTCTGTTTGCCTGTCTGTTTGTTTGTTTGTACGTTTGTGTGTGTGTGTGTGTGTGTGCGCGTGTGTGCGTGTGTGCGTGGGAGCGTGCGAGGTGTGCACGAATGCGTGCGTGAGTACGTGCGTGATTGATTGAGCGAGTGTGTGCGTGCGTGTATGCGTGTACGCGCGCGTTATCTAGAGAAAATGAAGTAAAGTATCGTTGCATCGTCACGAGAATAAGTTTATTCGAAATGTCTCTAAAATAATGAGCGTTACATTATTTGCTAAATTGCGTATACAGAGATAATGATACTCTGGATGAAATAGTTCCTAGGCCCGAGACACTGATATTCGCGCAGAAATATATATACATATATATATATATATATATATATATATATATATATGCAGATAGATAATGAACATGATTCGCATAAATCCTCTCTCTCTCTCTCTCTCTCTCTCTCTCTCTCTCTCTCTCTCTCTCTCTCTCTCTCTATGTATGCGTGTGCGTGTGTCAGTCGCTCGGTCGCTCGTTCGCACAGCTTGACAATCGCTGTCTCGCTCTCGAGGCCACGCGCCTCTTTCCGACAATAGTCAGGCAGTCGCGGACACGACGGCGCGTCCTTTCGAGCGTGCGCCGCTATTGTCTTTGGCAGGCACAAGCTGGTCCTATGGCTCCTCCTTGCTCGCCGGCTGCAGCTGGTGCACGACCCCCGGGTGCAGGTGATGCTGCTGGTGATGGTGATGCTCGGGCCGTCGCGAGAGCCCCAGCAGTGGTGGCAGCAGGGGCAGGGGCAGGGGCGGGAAGTGAAAGCCAGCGGCGAGGCCCCCAAGGAGGGCCGAGGCCGTCGTGTGCTCTTGGGCCTTGCGCCGTAGCTCCGCGAGGCTGCTGTTGCGCTGAGCCTCCCCGGCCCCGCCCTTACCGCAGCATCCGCACAGGGAGCCCGCGCAGCTGGCCCAGCCCGCTGGCGACCACGAGAGCATCTCCTGGAGGCTACTCCCGGGGCCGGAGCTCGCCGCACGAGACTCGACAGCGCTGCTCCAGAGGGATGCTCCACCCGCGGCCAAAGAGCTCGGGCTGCTCACCTGGAGCTTCGAGGCGAACAGCGGGGGCGAGAACTGAGCCGCGAGATGCGGCGAGAAGAAGAGGCTGGTAGCCGTCGTTTCCACGGGCCGGAAACCACCGCCACCCGCGCTACCGCCCAGGCTAGAAACATAGCTGTTTAAGGTGTCGTTGAACCCCAGCCCAGACAACGGTTCGTGGAAAATCTCGCGCTATTCGTTGTCTCTATTGGATCGGGGCCCCCTGCGACTCGGCCCGAGGGAAAAGCCGCGACAGCGAGGCACACGAGACTGCCAGACGGAATTTCCCGGATTAGCGCGCGCGTCGCGAATTTCACGGCATCGATACTACGCGTTTAGCGAACCGTAGCTTTGCGTGGTAAAGGCTGGAAAAATAGGTGTGTGGATAATGCGCGAAGACGAGGATGGAAGTAGTTGTTTTTTGAAAAGACATGAAAAGTCTTCCGGGAGGGGCGAGGAGGAGGAGGAGGAGGTAAAGTCTCAACGTCCTTGAATATTTTCACATTTTTCAAAGCCATTGTAATTTACGCGTCGCTTTCAATGAATTCGTATTTAATGCCGAAACGCAATAAATAAGCATTACAAACGACTGTAAAAGATTAATCTGCCTCTCGTATTATATTATTAAGCATGTAAGCGTGCTTGTAGTCTTGAATTTTCTAATACAAAAGTAGGGATCGATGAAGTTTAAAGATATAAAGATGCATTAGCTCATTGCTAAGCACTTAACGACAATTACAGCTAAAGTGAATTTTGAATTTTTTCTTTTAAATTTTTGCAGCGCCACCACTAACGACCAACAGATAATAAAATATTCAAGGCGAACGATATGGATATCCGCGCACTCAAAAGAATTATAATCAGATTATATAATAATTAGTGTTACATTTGCTATATAATGTGAATATTTTTTTTGTTTTGTTTTTGTTTTCTGTTCTTGTTTTGTCTGTAAAGGTATAAAATCGCTAGGTATTTAAAATGTAAATAAATTATAGGTTTATGTAATGAACGATTAATGAATATAGTTACGAACAAAGTCAATGTTAATCGAAAAAACTTTTTTAGTTTTGCCAAGATTTCCTCCGATGATCATTATAACGGAAAACAAACGTCTTTAAATAACACATAAACAAAGCATTTGTAATGTAAAATTAAGTTTGCCCACCGAATGAATGGTTTGGTATGGTTTTATTGTTTATGTCATAAAGTCGGCAAAGTGCATTAAAATAAGACTGCGGAATCGCCAAACTCTTAGGTATTTATTAGGATAATCGATCGATCAAAATCCGAGGCAAAACATACATATGAAAAAAAAAAAAAATCATTTGAAGAACTGGTAAATTGACAAATGCTCTATAGAAAAATGTAACTTAAAAATTCTTTAAAAATGCCAGGATCCCTAAGATATTTATAATTATAGTCGTTCGTCGTTCAATTGATGTGAAGGTGAATATAAAAGAGTCGTAGTGTAGAAGTGGAGCGATGTAGTTTTGATTTCAAATAATCAGCTTTTCAATTCCAGTGTATAAATAAGTTTTATCGATAAGCTTTTTGAATATTTGTTAAATGTATCTCTCCAAGTTGGCTGACTCGACGTATCAATGTATCGAGTTTTTCTAAAGTTTCCCATAAAAATAAAAGTAATATAAAATCGGAAAAAGCAGAAGATCGTTTATTATGAGAGTAAAGCTTTTCCCAATGGCAATGATACTAAAAAGTAATCGTTACTTAATTCGAGTACATTTCACTTGGACTAGTTTCAAGTAGAACATAATAATGTTAGTATAGGAAAGAGAGTAAGAGCGGGTGATGATGCGGCGTAGTGGGGAGTTGAGAGTCGAGCGAGGGTTGGCGTTAGGGTGAGGGCGGGAGAGGGGTCAGGGGAAATGATGGAGGGATGAGTGGGATAAGGTAGTAAGAGGAGGCGGAAAATAATTCGCAGGGAAATCGAGTAAATTCACCATGAATGCGTAATTAGGGTATTTGCATAGATGATCGCCCCGGGAGAAAAGTTTGTTTCCGTGCGTTCCCGATAACGCGCCTGAATCAAGTTCAAAGTATGCGGGAGTGAGTGCGTGGGCGAGGGGTCGGTGCCGCGGTCGGGCTGGACCGGATCGGATCGGATCGGATCGGATCGGATGGGATCGGATCGGATCGGGTCGGATGGTTGAGGTGGCAGTGAGGTTGCGTTGTGGCGAGGGGGAGGTTGGGAGTGGGCTCGATGGGTGTCAAACGCGGGAGAGCGGGCGACGATGCGTAAGTAAAGTGCGCGCTCGTCCGCGCGATCCGGGCGATGGTACGTACGGTTGGGCAGCGCGAAGCGGCGACGGAGGAAAGCAAAGTCATAACTTTATTACGACACTCCATTAAAGTCTCGATGAAAAATTCAGCGGCGCGCGTACGGGCAAGACGTCGCCGAGGAGTCGAGCTCGATAAGTCGCGAGCGGGGCTGGGGGGTGGTGACGTAGGTCTGACTTTTAAATAAACGAGGTCCGGGTTCGGGGTAAATGGCGCGTGGCGCGCATCCGCTGGCTCACCTCTCCGCGGGCGGTCCAGCGCCGGGGAGCTGATCCGTGGAGGGTGCCGCCGTTGTCCGGTCCTGCTGCTGGGACGCTGAGTTCGGCGTCGGGGCGGGCTGGGGCGAGGCCGAGGAGGAGGTGGGCCCGTGGGTCGGCCGCGGGCTAACCGAGGCCGAGGTCGTGCTCGGGCTCCGCGAGCCGCTGAGCGCCTCCTGAGGACCCGGGGGCCCCTCCTCGGAGCCAGGCTCCATTGACGACGACTGCTGCTGCTGCTGCTGCTGCTGCTGCTGCTGCTGCTGTTGCTGTTGCTGTTGCTGTTGATGCTGTTGATGCTGTTGCTGTTGCTGCTGCTCGCTCGAGGTCGCGCTGTCGCGCTTCCGTTGCTCCTCCTTCAGCCGCTCGCTCTTGCGCCACTTGGCACGGCGATTCTGGAACCAGACCTGAGAACACAGGCACACCTGTAGTTTTATCGAGGAGGAGGAGCTGTTTGGTGAAATGGAGGGCGGCTGGGTGGGGTCGGTGCCGCGAGTGGAGATCAAGTGGCAATGTCTGGTCCAATTCAATGTATTAACGATCGGAAACGAGTCGTGTGTGATTCTGGATCACGTGTGCGTTTATCGTAACTCGCTCATCCGTGGAGTGCACTTCGTAAGACGTTTACTTTATTTTTTGACGAGCGTTTCAAGGTTACGGGTAACATAATGCAAATCCATTGTTAAAAAGCAACGTCGCTAACTATGAGTGTGGCTTTTATTTAGCAATTGTGCTATTATTGTTATCGATAGATCGATTGATATTTGGCTTCCTGAGAATAATGCTCAAAGTAGAATTTTTTTTCTTTGGGTAAACGGGAGTATTGTTTGAATAATAATGTGAATTTAGACTGCGAGATTTGAGAATAGTGTGATGATTCATAATTGGAACATTGTTACCAAGATGGAACATATATATATATATATATATATATATATATATAGATAAGCAGTTTTTGCAAATTTTTATTTATTTTGATAATCGACACAGGTTACGCATATGCCCAGGAATTTAAAATTAATTTTGAAATTTTGCCAGTTTTTTAAAAATCTAATCTAATAAAGTGAACTTCAAAAAGAAGTTCAATTAAAGTGTTATGTACTTTCGACAGAGTTTTGATGGCAGTAAATTTGAATTCAGCCTCAAAACTCCATTACTTAAAATTTGCGGTCACATTTTACTTTAGTCATACTTAATATATTTTATTCTATAACAACTAGAACTGTATCTAAGTTTATGAGATTTTGAAGTGCTTTCGTATAAAGTGAAATGCGTGTTCGCTTAGAGGTATGAAAAATTTTATTCGAATATGTGGGCTAACCAGCGGGAATTGTTTGCTAATCTTAATCCAATGACTCGATATAAAATATTTGTTTGTGCTTTTAAATCGCTTAGTTTTGATGAACGTAACCTCGAATAGAATTTTGAATAAATCAATTTTTATTTACAAAGTAAAATTTTTGAATACTAAAGCAATTGAATATCTTATAATTATTAATCTGGATAATTCAATTAAATTAAATTTAACTATTTTCTATTTTATGTTACGTTGAGTATTTCGACGTTAATTCATAATGGAATTCTTATGGAAATATTGAGTGATTCATGATTTAATAGAAGATCATTTTGTAGTCATCGGTTCTTGGTAGAAAAGGAGACGTGACGTTTTTCTTTTTGTAAACAATTTTGAGCATATTTAATTGCAATTGTGAAAAAATGTTTGTTATCAAATCAAATTCTACATACATGTCTCTATACATAAGTGACTTGCCATCATTTTCATTTTCCTACAATTTTACCAATTGCAAAATGTTTTTTGAATCATAATTTCGTCGATTGAACAAATATTTATAAGATTACAAATATTTGTAATGTCCTAAATGATATAATCATTAAGTTTGGAGCTGTCACTCTCACACCTTAAAATATTATACACGGATAGCAGCGATTTATGAGAACGAAATCATGCATAACGAGCGTAGCGATTGGCAATTGAAAGTACCATTATTGTTCGGCTGAGAAAACAAAATCATAAATAAAACCAAGTAGTCGATGTCAACAATTACGATTACGATAAACTTACAAATAGTAGCGCAAAATAATTATACGTGTATATTATAAATTAAATTAATTTAAAAGAGATCTGTTTTGATATAATCGAATATTAAAATAATCGTCTAAGTATTGAAAATATCGCTCACGTGATTCGATAAAGCTTTACAAATATTATAATGAAGAATAATAGTAAACAATACTTTCTTGAGATTGATGGAAAATTTTGCAATGATACGTAGCTTACAGCAAGGGAAGATGATCGAGTCTTTGGTAATCCGCAGTATCCTTAATATGACATAATCATCGCTAAAATACACTTTATTAAAATTTCCTCGACTCTTCCACACTTAATTATTGCAATATGAACATAACGAGATTACATTTTTATGTTCTAAATTTAAAATATACTTTAATTCTATTAATAAGAGTGAAACATAAATGAATTTAACATTTTAATGATTTAGAGTACGTATAAGTGAAGTTGTAAACTAAAATTAGTGAAGATAGTGAAGTCGGCGTTAGGTGTATGTTTTTTTTTTTTTTTTTTTATAAGAAAACTAATAATAATGGTTAGTGAAATGTTGAGTACTCGCTTATCCATCAAATCCTAATCATAAATTCATTACTTTGAATATTAAAGATATAAAATGCATGAAAGATAGAAGCAACAAGTATTCATTAATTTACGAATAAAGTCGTGAAAAAGAAAATAAAAAAATATATATATATATATATATATATATATAAATTTACAATATTTCATATTCGTAATAGTCATACGTATAAAGTAAATGCCCAACTGCCGAAAACCACTTGATAAAAGCAACAATTAAATCCATGAGAAATAAATGGCGGCGCTATTGAAACATCGACATATTAATAATTGAAATGATTATAAATGAAATAGCTTGCGATAGATTATTATGTAAACACGCCATTATTCTATGAACTATGAACATAAAGTGAAATATGAGTTTTTTTAAATTTATTTGAAGATAGCGCGATGGATATTAATAAAATGTTAAATTTATCAAGCCACTTATCATGAAAATGGTTAGGAAATTTACTAGCAAAAAAACTGGAAGAAAATATAGCCGAAAAAAAATGCCCGTATCGCTGGAATCCAATTCCCCAACCTCTTGAGGAGGCAACAGACATTTTAGCTTTTATAGCAAATACAGCTTTGGCTTGACTTTTATTGGGCTTTATTAAATTTTCATCATTTGTATCTCAGAATATTTATTATAATGTGACTTACTCGATAACTTACCCGACTTCGCTCACCAACATGCGCCATACATCGCCAACAAGATTTTTTTTTCCCATTAATTATCGGGCAGAAGAACATTGCGTATTAATGAGAGGATCGGTAATGTAGAATTCAGAATAATAGAGGGATTAGAGGTATTGCCGGGAGTGAAAGTGATGATATATGTAGCATTGATCAGAAATAATCGAGGGCTACGCGATTAATTTGCTTTTTGCCGGGTGAAGTTTCGTCACGACACGATGGTTGCAAAATAGATTAATCGAAAAGAAAAAAAAAAATTGCCATTGCTCGGCTCGTCAATTGAAGTTGACAGGGATGAAATGCGTATAGCTCGTCTAGCAGCTCGTATGGGGCACTGGAAAGATTGTCCGGGTGCTTTCTTTTCAGGGAGAAAGAAAAAATGAAGGACGGTCTAAAGGAATCAAGCTTGATATGTTAGACGGGGCGTAGCTCGGAAGGCGCAGGAGCACAAGTGGCGTAGAATCAAACCGAGGGTCTCGCGCATTTGAAAAGTTCCTCCGCAGGCTGAAGGAAATGGTTTAATAAAATAAATATGACGAGGTTCGTATTTGGCGCGATGGCTTCCCGAAGCCGCAGTCGAATGAGCCCGAGGCAATCTTAAGGCGAGAGAGGAGGAAAAAAGTGACAGGGGGGAGGAAAAAAGTGACGCTGCGGTGGTGGTGGTGGTGGTGGTGGTGGTGGTGGTGGTGGAGGAGGTGATGGTGGTGGTGATGGTGGTCGTGATGGTGGTGATGGTGGTGATGATGGTGGTGGTAGCGGTGGTAGTGGCGGTGGTGGTGGGACGGCGGGGTGGACTGCGTGGGTGGATGGGATAGGCGAGTGGAGAAGGAACGACAAGGGATGAGAAGGTATGAGAAGAAGCTCGAGTGCCGCTCACGCGCCGCTACTGCCGCCAGACGGCCAGATATAATAATATCCTAAGGGTTGCTGGGACGAGTAATAGCTGGGAACAAAGCCGCGATTCCCCTGGGATCGACCGTAGAACGTTGAATTTTTACCCTACTTCTGCACTTATCCATCTTTCCTCCTACCGCTACTTATTTTTTCCGTTTTTTCCCCCCTTTTTTCTTTTTTTTTTCTTTTTTTTTTATCTTCGTCTTTTTTCTCCAATGCGAATTTAATCCTAAATATGTCTAAAACCATTCAATCCACTAACTTTCGACGTCTGAAAAAATCTTCAAACTCTACTTACGATCTCCTATTTCAAAAATCACAATGCCATATATTTCGCGTAATCTTCGTTGGGCATTTATCGCAAAACTATTTTATTCAATATCGCTTTCCTTTCTTCCCTTTTCTCTTCTTCTTCTTCTTCTTCTTCTTCTTCATCGTCGTCATTCTTTGTTTTTCATTTATGTTTTTGTTTTTTTTTTTTTGTTTTTTCCCTCGATGAAATCCGAATTGCTGCTATTAAAACATTTCGAGACGCGTTCTCTTAATTTTGTCGACGACGAAAAGTTGAAAAGTTTTTTTTTATAAAATTTGCATTGGTGCGTCGATGGGAGCGTACATGTATCTCTCAATAATAAATGGCAATTGTTTGCTATCGCTACTTCATCGTATGCAATTGCACTTTGACAATTTACATCGTCCCTTAATTTTAATAATAACAATAAACGGTATAAAGATAAAGAATAATCCAAGGACTAGCCATTAATAAAGACAATTATTTAAATTATAATTGCCATCATCATAAATTGACAAACACGAATTCAACGATATTATATTTTCATGTGTTGCATTTTTAACCTTCTTTTAGCATTGTCGGAAACCCCCGAACCCCCCCCCCTCCCCCACCCACCCCCACCCGGCCATCGCCACTATTCCCTTGTAGATGATAATAGGTGCGTGCTTATGTGCTAATATTTATGCAATGTTACACAGTCTTATAGGCTGGATTTGCGAAAGTACTTCAACGAAGTGTGAGCTTAGAAGGCTTACAAGGTTGAAAGTATAATTACAAACAGTTCGTGGCACATGGGCTTTAATAATCTACTTATCGACCGAGCTCATCGACGCCCATTGGACTCATGCGAAAGATAACATTGGAAACTAAACGAT